CAAAAGCAAAAAATAAAAATAAACAAGTACAGGAATAACAAACAAATATGCACAAAACAAAAAGAATAAAAAACAAGATCAGATCAAAGTAATACAGATATAATTAAATCGAAAGCTTGTGCACTAAACACTGCACTAAAGTCCGTCTACTACTATTATCATCAAAACAGGGAAGTTTGAAATGTTCGTGCTTGCTTTAAATGGTACAGAAGCTAAGAGAAAAAAAAAAAAAACGAACGAAGAACGAGAAACAGAAAATACCTGGAGACGAAGACAACTTCGGCTTCTTGGACGACGGCTCGTCCATAACATCGGCGGACATCACCAATACGGTATATTCCCAATTATTAATTGAAATAACAAATTACAACAGTTCTTATTAGTAGCCGAGCAGCGACACTAGTTGTTGCGCGCCCGATGGGCACCAAGCCCAAATCCAAAATTAGCAGAATATGTTCAAATATGCTAGGAATCAGCTGTTCGTGTGCTTAGTGCACGCAGAATCTTTCTCTCAAGCTAACGACGAGTTAAATTATGAATTAAAAAACGGTCCCACCCAGTGTCGATCATTCAACACCAGACGTACGTAACTTCGAGTAAAATCTCCTTCTTGGTGCCTAACGTTTTCGAAACGCAAGGGTAACCTTGCGATCAACTCGTCACTTACCGTGCTTCCCGCTACAAACAATACAGCGTTTATTGATAAGTCTTACCGAAACAATGGTATTTCCAGCAACAAACAAATAAATAATAAAAACAAAATAAAAAAACGAAAGGAAAAAAAATCAGTGAAGAAAAAAAAAGAACGGGAAAGCCCATCTTTAACACGAGAAACTCTTACGCTGACTGCGAAAATGCACGAAGAAAAAATATATTTGATATAACATGTTATAACACAATATCGCAACAAATATCACTTCACTTAGTTTCTTGATGTACTCACTTTTTACCGTTAATATGGTCAGATACATGAATCAACACAAAACCAAAGCGAGTAAAAAACAAAAAAAAAAAAGAAAAGAAAGAAAAACAACTACAACGGCAGTAAGACATTCAAAAATAAACAGTTTGAAACAAATTTATGTAACATATCATATAAGCATTTCCCTTTCTTCTTCCTTTTTTCGTCAACCCTCAGTTAACGATAAATGCTTGACAAAAATTTTTATGATTAAAATTCTTTATTTTGTCATTTTTTCTCTTTTTTTTTTTCTTTCTTATCGTCCATTCTGTAAATTTTAAGCTTAATTTTTACAAAAAAAAAAAGACAAAAAAAAAAAGAAAAAAAAAACATTTCGGTCAGATGTCCATTCAGTTCCAATGGACATTTTCTAAATACAACAAAACGTGATGCGCGCGGTCAGCGTTCAAACCGATTAGAGACATGCAAAAGAGCGCAGAATTGTCAAGAGAAACAGACGCACGTGCATGCGTTCATCACATTCTTTGCGGAATCAACCCCCTCCCCCCTTCTCGCCTCTCCTCCCCCCTCTCCCGTCCCCCTCCCCCTTTTCTTTTCTTGTCCACATAGCAAAGCCAAAGACAGTATAGCACCAAACCGTACAGGCGTACAAACAAAACACCAAAAGAGTCAACCAACCAGACAGACGCGCCAGTGAAACAGCGTTAAGGAGACTAAGATCAACAGAAATGGAGAGAGACACCGAGGGGCAGAATGCTAGAGTAGATACGATTGTATACGAAAAATATGAGAGTATCTGTGTATTTGCGTGTGTGTTTGTATGTGTGTGTTGTGTGTATATGCGTATTGAACGTTATGCGCGCCGCAGCGCATCAACCAAACACCCCAATGATCTAACACAAACGGACCCGCTTTGACAGTTTTGTTATAAGAGTTTGGTTCTTAAAACGAAAATTTACTTTGTCCATTGTATTTGCAATGCTTCTACGGTGCAGCAATCATAATACCCAACTACGGTGAGTGTAAAGCGCCAAAATTAAAAACAAATGCAACAATATCGACCGATCAAAGCTCAAAATCCATCATTATCACCAATCGCATACACGCACTGCCACCATCATCATCGTCGTCATCACCATCACCATCATCGTCATCATCATCATCATCAGCGTCGTCGTCATCGTCATCATCATCACCACCAGCAAAACATACACACCCACTCTCATATATCGAGATTATTTGCATATAAGGAATTTCTACATTTTACAAAAAAAAAATAGTCCCTAACCTCTTTGAACTTCCTCCTTCTCCTTCCCCTTTTAACAATTAGGAACCAGCCTTTCTTTGCTAATTAGCCATCCTACTACTTCTTCTGAATGTCTGTCACCTTCTTCATTTTGACTTTTATTTTCTCAACTAACTGTTCAAATATTCACTACCACATTTCCTATACGCAATCTGTTATTGCCAAATGAAATTAAAAAAAAAAAAAAGAAACATAAAAAAAAAAACAATATTTAAGTTACACTGCCATCTCCACTGTCATCAGTTTTGTTGTTTTTGCCATTTAGTTTCTCATCTCAACTTAGTACAGAAGATTTACTGAAGCTAAAAATAGACCAAATGAAAAAAAAAAAAAAAAAAAAAAAAAAAAAAAAAA